AATTGCACAGTTTAGTTATACTTTACGAGACGAACGTTTTGACCCTAATTAGTCAACGTTTAGACAATTATTATCAAATACAAACAGAATGCTACAGTACCTACTGTGGCTACAGTACTTTGCCGGTGCCGAATTCGGGCCGAACTAAACGAGGGCCAGATGGCTCAGGACGATGCAGCCTAGGTACGGTTGTAGGGGGGAGTGTGGGACCGATGCCTCAAACGACACTCTTTCTGGGACAGCTCTTCGATGATGCTAGAACAACGTTTATTTCGGGACAGAGCGAGTACTCATCTCACCCAATCCACAACAAAATTCTAAAACAGCGTGTCGGTTTCACGAGCTCAGTTCTTTTGTCGCAGCTGGAATTTGTGCTAAACTACATACACCACCTAATTGCTAAACTACATACACCACCTGATGCGCGATCTCGCTTGACAGCTACGTACGCTAGGTCAATTTAGCCAGCTAGGCCATTCCGCCCCATTTTTTACCCTCTCTTAGACGGTCTCCAACCACGAAATACAGACCCAAAATACATCCTCTACAGTAGATTTGCCTATAAAAAACACTCTCCAATGGCTCACTCAAATGTACCACCCATTTTGCCTACCGACCGAAACGAAACGTAAAAAAACATCTCCTCTCTCCTCGGTACGCAAATCTCCGGTGGCCCGCCCGTGCACGCCTCCGCAACGCCGAGGTGGCCCGCTCCCGCACCGGCCGCGCCGCCGCGCCCGTGCCGACCCCGCTTGCCCGCGCTCGCGGCTGCTCCTCCACCTTCGAGCACGGTCAGGCGGACCATAGCGGGGAGGACTCCTCCTTGGAGCTGGCGATGAGGAAGGGCGCCGCGGTTGGCACCGGACCAGCTCTCGAGCGGCGGCCGTCCTCAGATCCGCTCTCTCCCGGGGCCACCCTTCTCCCAGCCCCACCGCGCCGCGTCGGATTGCGAACGCTTGTGCTGGCGACGGTGCTACGGCAGCGGGGGCTGGCGTCGGGGACTGTGGGGGTGGGGTCCGCGGCGGGTTCTGGTCACGGACTCGCGGGCATGGTCGTCCTACGCGGGATCTGAGCCGCCATTGATGGGTTTCTTTGGAGCATTTGGTGGCGGATGTTTTGTTTTGGTATGCTCTCTGCCTCCTCTTCTGCATACGCTGTTGGAGAAGGCCTGTTTTGGGTGTCGGACTCGGGCTACTGTGCGTGGCCTAAACCAGCAGTGAATGGGTCTCTGTTTGGGTATGTACCGTGGCCATCACGCTAGCTATGCTTTTACACGCACGTCACCCTTTATTTTTTTACCTGCGCAAAAGCGACCACTTTCTTAACAACAGCATGATTACTCTCTCTCACTCGCACTGTCACACACACCATCTCTGATGAACCACCGTTCACATGATTGAATCCAAAGTTTAAATTAAATTAAAAAAAACACAAGACCCTTCGAGAGAGCGGCCAGGAAGCACGAACAGCGACAGTCACTCGGCTTGGCCACTCGACGCCGTGTTTAGCCTCAGGAAGTTTAGAATTTTGGGATACTGTAGCACTTTCATTTTTATTTATCAATTAGTGTTTAAATATGGATTAATTAGGCTCAAAACGTTCGTCTCGTAATTTCCAACCAAACTGTGCAATTAGTTTTTTTTTCGTCTATATTTAATGCTCCATGCACGAGCCGCAAACATTCGATGTGATAGCTACTGTAGCACTTTTTAGGATTTTAGATTGGAACTAAAGGCCTGTTTAGATTCCAAAAAATTTTGCGCAGTACCCGTCACATCGAATCTTGCGGCACATGCATGGAGTACTAAATATAGACGAAAAAAAAACTAATTGCACAGTTGGGTGAGAAATCGCGAGACGAAACTTTTAACCTAATTAGTCCATAATTAGACACTAATTACCAAATACAAACGAAATGATACAGTGAGCCAAAATCAAAATTTTTTTTGATCTAAACGGGACCTAAACATGGGCTGAATTGTGCCGGATAACAGACGTACGGTAGGCACAGCATCTGGAAAACCCGCATCGGAGGTGCGCCTGCGCCCGGGCCCTATCCTGTCTCGGCACGTTGTGGCCAGGCAAACCTTTGAATTCTCAGAAATTCGGGGGCGAAAGTGGCCTCATTATTTATTATATACAAGAACAAACGCTTCAGTTTTTCACGAGATATATATTCAGCGGAAGAAAGTGACCGATCGAGGGTACCTAAAACGCTTTCAACTTTTCACCTACGATACAACCCACGGAAAATCTAGTGTTTGTTCCGTCAAGAGACGTAAGACATTTTTTTACGATTGAGGAAGCCTGCCGTATTATTTTCTTTTTCATCACATTTTTTACGATCACAACCATATATATATATTTTGAAACAGAATAGGAGGGGTTTGCACCCCTACTACAGTAAAAAATACTTCTTCCCACGCCAAAGTAGCGACGTGTATCTTTGATCTTAAAAGTATATTTTCGATGTTTGTAATCTATCTCATCCATTCTAAACTGTAGGATGTTTTGGTTTTTAGACACATTATTTTTACTATATACCTAGATATAGTGCATGTCTACGTACATGACAAAAGCCATGTATTTAGAAAAACCAAAGCGTTTTATAATTTGGAAGTGTTATTATTGTTAACACTGGTTTTGTACCTTGGACACGCATGTGATTTAACGAACCATCGGTCAAGTTATTGAGGTCGACCTTTCCTTTTGAGGAATTATTAAAAATACACCGTGCATATATGACAGTGTTTTTTTCCAAACAAAATCACCGATTCCAAATGGATGCAGGAAAGGGAAAAAAAGTACTAGTACCAGTGTACTATTATCAGTTCCAAATCAGATGCAATAAATAAAAGCGTAAAGAGAGGAGGTAGCATTAACTCCGCCAGTAACCGACAGCTAACTGATGTTGCTCTCGTCAGTTCCATTTCCATCTGTGCTGGACGCCCCGGATTTGCCTTCCCCTGAGTCCCTGACCGACCCTCATGGCGTCTACACGAAACGAAATATCTGTCACTTTCTAACAGCAAGATTAGCGACAAGATTGACCCCTGAATGACTGAATCCCATCGCTAAAGGCCACCAAGAAAGTTGAACTCACTGACTGACGCCACTATAAGAGCGGAGAGAAATGGGCAGAAAGAAAGCAGGTGGAGTGGCACTGTAACAATTCGCCACACCTAGCCCCTCCTCCCTCTGACCCTCGGCTCAGGCTCTCATTCTTCCCTCCCTCCCCCTTCTTGCATGCCGATCGCCTCCAAGCTCGTCTACTTCCAGCGCCGCCCCTCGCCGGCGCCGCCGGACGACCCGGGCCCCGAGCCGCCGGACCCCCGACGCCGACCCTGCCGCGACCACCGCCGCCGCCGGAGCTCCCTCTCCTCCCACCACAAGCCGGTGCGTACCCAAGAACACGCTTGCCGTTTCGTTTCCTCTGACTTCCTGCCGTTTGTTTGCTAATATAAAGCCGCGACCTTTTGCGGTTTTCCGAGTGAATAAACCGGGGGCTCTTCTAGTTTTCTTCATAGATTCGAACTTCGGGCTTCCAGCATAGCTACAACTTTAGCATGGTGTGGATTACTGTTCCCCGTGTCTAGGTGAGCCCGAAAGTGATGATTTTTGTCACCAGAAATGGTGAGTTATCGAGTTAACTAGGGTGCGCGGAGTGTATGCGTTACTGAGAAAAAGTTGTTGGTTTCGTGGAGGGAAGCCTGGTGGAGATTTGTTATTCTGAGCAGAGCTGCTGATGGATGCAGTCATGCAGGTGTCGACTGTACACCCTGTGGTTAAATAAGATTCTCATGAAATCCCAGGTTGAGATCATGCTGTCGGTTTGGTTAGAATTAGTTGACAGAGATGGGCGATTGTCGGCCTGTTGGCTTGTTGGTTTCAGCCAGCCCAAATCAGCCAGTCAACAGTGTTTTTTTCTCACAAAAAATCAGCACCAGCCAGCCCAAACAGCACCAGCACCAACCTGGAGTATGGATCATATGTGCTTTGCAGTATGACCTTCGTTTTCCTTTGCCTAAATGTCTGGGTCACGCGAAATCGGGAAATTGTTTCGCGGTAGTAATTCGGTTTGGATGAAGGCCTAGTCTCCTTGTTCTTCAGGAACGTTGAGGAGCCTATCAGCATCCTGGAATATGCTTGAAAAGTAGCTCATAGTAGTCTTTCTCGAACTAGGCAGAGTATTTTAGTAAATCTAGCAGGCTGAGCATACCAGAGTAGTTTTATCAAAAGAGGATATTCCACCGACCTAAGATAGAAATCTGAATGAATAACGTCGATAGTTGTCCCCAACAGATACTCTCTGGCATGGATGATTTGTAGGCTCAAAATATTAGGCCAAAAAAATTTATGTGAGCCTGTACTGTTGGTAACTTCAAAGGGAAAATTTAATTATATATTCCCTTCATCTACATTTGTGAACAAAGCTGCCATTTGTTTAGTTAGTGTCATGATGACAGGCATTTGTTTGCTCCATCCTTTTCTTTTGAAAACAATACTATGAGCTTTAATGGCTAAGCAATAGTTGTATTGAATCCAGCTCCAGGCATTAGCAAATTAATTGCTGGTCCCTATATCAGCCTATGGCAAACAGGTTATCAGCTTATTTGTGTGGAATCTTCTCTTTATTGTGATCAGGTGGCTACTATTTCTTATCCATGAATTCATATTTTCTTTGCAATGAGCAAGTTTCTTGGTGACATTAAGTCACCAAATAATCACACATGGACACTCTGTCTGCAGGAGATTAAGTACCCTACCTTGGCTACAATCTTGCAAACATGCAACATGATCAATTAAGGCACAAAAATTAGAGCATTTCGTATTTTTCCATGTCCTTCAAAAGCAGTATAAAATCATATTCAGTGATCACACATATGTTTCTAATACCCACTATATAAAACCAGGGTCAGGAACATGTTCCAGGACACCAAAGGGATGCTGCTGCCAAGCCTCTGGGATCAGTTGGAAACATAGCAGAGCATGCAGCGGGCATGGCCTCCAGCACAAGACTTCTCCGCAGCATATCGGACCATGGCCGGCTTCCTGATGCCGTTCAGCAGGCCAGGGAAAGGCTCCTTCATAGGCTCAACAGCGTGGACCTGTCAGGAAGAAGGTCCGTGTAACCAACCCTTAGCGCGTCGTACCGTACTTTGTGCACATAATCTGACAGTATACTGAATCTACATCCACACATGCTATCCTTTCTTCATTGCAGGCAAAAGACATGGCCCTCGGAATCATTCTGGGCTGGACTAACTCGCCCCGCTGACGCCGGTGTGTCCACCTCTTCGGACAGCATCCTGGGCAGTCTAACCAAGTGCTTCCAGCCCGGTGAACCCGTCGCAGCCAGCAAGGTTGAAGAAGGCACGGTGGAGCCTGTCGTCGTCCCTGTCATCACTAACGCAGATGAGTGTGTGCTGATCACAGTGTTCCCCAAACCGGTCTCTGAGCTGCAGGAATCAGCAGCCTGCAAGGAAGCAGAAGGCGGTCAAGCCGCGGAAGCTTCTTCTCCAGCTGAGTGCTCCATATGCCTGGAGAGGTGCGGTGACTCAGGTGACGGGCTCATCCAGCTGCGCTGCAGGCACATCTTCCACTCGGCCTGCCTGGAGCGGTGGCTGCGGTCCCGCGCCGACTGCCCCTACTGCCGCGCCACCGTGCGAGTTTGCTCCTAACAGCAGGAGGATGAAACTGAATGATAATGACAACGTGTCCAAGGCTGCAGATTACGGTTACTAAACCCTCCTGTCTGAGGCTTAACCATGTCCCTGCTCACCCCTTGTTGTAACTACTAGTATATATGGTTTTCCCTTGCCCGTTGAGGTAGTAGCAGTACTGAACTTTGCGGCCTCAGCAATTTCGTGTGGTATGGTATATGTGTGTATCTAATCTATGCTGACTGGCTGCTGTATGTAACTGGATACTTTGCATCTGTGGATGCCATCAGAGAAGCAATAAGCTGGCTAATGTTACGCTGCATAATTGCGTTCCATGGAATGTCACTTTGTGCAGTGCAGTTGTTGACTTGTGCTCTACTACGTTGTTGTCATACAGGCATACAGTTCTGTGGTGATGCAGGATCTGGTTCTGGAGAATATGCCTGCATGCAGTTTGGTCCGGAAAAGGCAGAAACGGTTTCAGGAACAGAATCGATGCCCGAGGGGCATCGGTGAGCGAAGCACGCCGTGGTGGTTCACCTGTGCTTGTCTTCTCTCTTAGTCTTGTTGCGCTGTTACCAGTCACGTGATACGTGATGACCTCATCCACCAGGCCGCCACAGTTGGAGCTGCATGGGAGGCATGGAGCCATGGACGGAGAGCTCCCCTTTGGACTGGAGTTGCCGGCCGGAATAGGAGGCCGCCCGGCAAGGCGAGCGGGAGAGTCATATGGGCCAAGCCCTAGAATCAGGCCTAATTGAGTGCGGCCCATTTGCTGCCGGAGTCTGAGAGAGAGACGAAGGACCTTCCCCGTTAGAACACGGAAGGCCCAAGCCCACAAACTAAAGCTCGGCCCCACATTACTCCTGGGGCCGCTCCTTCCATTCGCGTCGCGGTTTTCCATCCACGTTTCCGCCGCCATGGGCGAAGATGCGACGGCGGGCAACTCGGCCGCCGCCGAGACATTCGATCCGGTGAGTTTATCGCCCGGACCACGACGGACCCCTCTGTCCTCCGATTTTTCCCTCGGCTAAAACTCTTGTTATCTGACAATTTGTGGTCATTTATCTGAATCTGATGATGACGCGCTGCTGGGATTTGAGCAGGAACTGATTCACGCCATCTTCAAGCTGGTGTGGCGGCGGCGAGCGGAGAAGGGCGGCGGCAACGAGGTCATCGACGTGGAGGTGATTCATTTTCAGACTTTTTTTTTTGACCGCCCCTTTCCCCTTCTACTGACCAGTGTGCTTTATTTTCTAATAATAATCGTCAGCCTGCTCCAGAGACCTCGAGGAGAAATCGGAGTACAACTGGTAAGCGAGTCTGTTTCTTCTTTACTGGAGCTAGCGGCATGAAATGGCTTCTAGGAAGTGCATGTGTTGGTGCAGTTTAATGACATCAGTTTGCAAAGAACCTGTTAGCCAATGTTTCCCCGATCTCTCATGTGTAAGGTGTTTGGTTTGAGTAAGGACTCCGTGCTAAATGAGCTGATGCATCGTAAGTCAATCCCTCGAATTTAGTAGAATGACTTCATTCCTCATACTAGCACTAATCATTAGCTTGTGAGAAACGATATGATGATGGATCAACTCATTCCATTCTAGAAACCAAACAAGAAAGTGAGAAGTGAAAAAATGATGGACCGACTCATTTCTTAAACCAATCACCCTATTAGTGTCAATGCTGGTAAAGAAAAATTGGCGCTTAAACTTTTATGTCCTATGTGCATAGCCATTTTAGTGTTGGCAGCCAGTAAGGCTAAGGCAGTAGCATATGCCCATCAGGCAAATTTTGTGGTTAAAAGTTCTTTTCAAAATTACCAAGGGGTCTGCATAAATCCAATTCGTAGCAGGTTTCTGTATGGCAAGCCACACACTTAACTGGTTTGATCACATATTGATCAACCAGTCTTCCATTTATTTTGATTAGTAGTTGTAACAGTAAGCACTTATCTTCTTCACCTAGCAGACACAAATAATTTCAGCTTAGCACCTGTCTTCTGTCCAAGTAGATGGCTTCTAGCCTTCTACACCTTGAGTGTTAACTATATTGCTACATTACATGTAATGTCATCTTATTTGACAATAGCTGGATGAAATGGGTAAGACAATTTGACATTGTTTGTCACGAGTTGACTTGTGTAACTGCACTTACATGCCTCAAGTGCAGAGCACTGTTAGGTAATGTAGGATGTCTCATGTGTTACTTGGGGGCACATAGTTGAACAATGGTTGCAAGAAGGCCGTGCCAGACACCATAGGCGACCAGAGAAGATTTTATTTGCTTTTTTATCAAGTTTTAGCTAGGTTTGTTTGTTAGGTTTGGAACTTGGTTTGTCAAACAAGCTCACAAGCACATCGTTTGTTGGCTTGGATGGATTGTTATAATCAGCGCTATATATGAGGAATGACTGAACTGGGAAATCAAGCTTGAAAAGAGCTACCTCCTTTCCCTGTCTCTTTCACCCTGTGTTCCATCTAATGCAGCTCAGGGGTTCGAGCTGTTTCTCCACCCCATCCCAGAACTTTTTGACTAGTTTTTTTTTTTTTGGAAATAATCTTGTCCTTCTATTCTTTTGTCTAGCTTGGAACGAGATGGTGTAAGGGTCCCAGATAGTATGTTAAAACCTGCTTTTAACTTTGGTATTTCTTTGATTTTTTATGTTTAAGTGGCTTAATTCTGCCGGTGACTGGGGTAAGAGTATCAGTACGATGAAACTTGGTGAACAAATGGTTTTCTTTAATGAAAAATGCTGACTGGTTTTCTGTTTCTATAAGAGATGAAGAATTGGCACTAGAAAGAGTTCGAAAGATGTATTTGACTCGATTGTTGTCACCCTTTGATTTATAGTGGACAATATAGGGTTCAAAGTAACTTCTCTGAGTGTGTTATTCATTATATGCTGACATGTTATGTTCACCTGGCAGCCAATGCAAGTGCTCTTAAAGTCAGCTGCGAGCTTCTTCGCATATTTGTTACAGGTTTGCACCTCTGAAAAAATGCTGCATCACTGCAAGCTATTTATGCTGTGGAAGCAATTCCATTTCTGGATTTTAACTGATTTCTCTTATAGAGGCTATTCAGCGCTCTGCTTTTATTGCTGAAGCGGAGGATGGTACTGTCATCGAGCCCACCCACCTAGAGCGTGTGTTGCCACAACTGCTATTGGACTTTTGAGGTACCCCTTAGAGCCTCCAAATCCATTTACCTGGTTGAATGCATTTGTCTAAGCCTGTGAACACACGCAGCTTCTACATCAGCTAAACTTGGAAAGCGAAAGGCTAGATTTCATCATACACATGATATTTTTCTTGTTTGCTGTAACACGGACTCTGAACTGATAATTGTTTGTACTGGCATATAGCCCTGTTCATGGTTCGCCAAAATTGGCTACCTGCCCGCACCTAAACCTCGATGGAACCATAACACGAATTGAATTGGTTTGCGTGTCCAAACCGAGTAAACATGGGTAGATCCGTCGGTTTGCCGTTTCAACTTGATAACCCGAGAATCAGATGCAAGGAATGATGAAAAGGAAAAGAAGAAGAGGCAATGGTGGCAAAGATGTCGCGTGAGGCCACGGTCGCTGCAGCTAAAAAGCAGCTGCTACTGCCATCTGCCACTGCTAGTACAGTGTTTCAGTGTGACAATAACAGCAGCAGCTGCAGCAGCTAGTAAAACAGCTGTGCCAAACACCCTAGAAACTCAAACACCCTAGAACCTGTTACCATTGTTATCCATTGTTGTAATTCTATAAACTTGTTCGAACTACGAAGCACATACGGCCACTTGTAGTTATCGTGTTCCTACGGTGTTTGACACAACGTAAAACACAGCAGTCGTCATAAATATATTGATATATTAAAATCTAATTAAACTAAATATAATAGTAGCACTAGTAATAATAATAAATAATATATATTCGTTTCGCTGAAATTTGCCTTATACAGATGCTTATGTTGATTTATTGTGAGAGGAAAACAAAATGTTTGTTCGCTAAAAGTACTACTAAAGTAGTTCAAAGCGAACCGTCTCTAACTTTCTCTCTAGTCTGTCCTTTGCACTCCTCTTTTGTCCTTCGGATTCGTGTTCTTGTGCTCTCACCCTTTGGATCATACGTCCTTTGTGCTCCTCTTTTGTCCTTTGGGTTCGTCTTCCTGCGCTCTCACCTTTTGGACCATCATCTCGCTCTCACTCTTATATTGTTTTAAAGTTTGGAGCTGCAAAACATTCATCAGTGTTACACCACTAGTGTCATGGTACGGGAGCCCTTGCGCTCACCTTTATTGCTTTAAGCTTGGCGTCACATCACTTGTGTCATGGCTTGGCACCTGAGCCCTGGCTCTTACTCTAAGTTTAGGGCTGCAAAGCCTTCATTGGTGTCACCCCACTCGTGTCGTGGCTTGGTTACCTGAGCATGTACATTTTGTGGCGCGTATACGAACATGTGGCTCACCATCCATCTTTCTTAAACTTAGAAAAGATGCACATAATAGCTACCTACTTAACTGTCAATTTCCCGTATGAGATTAATCCTTAAATATATTTGATTAAAGTTGGGCTAAACCTAATTAAAGTTAACAAAAATAGCTAGCAACTTTTAGGTACAAACACCACACAACAAATTACAACGTATGGGTATATTTGTTAGTAATAGTAATGGTTATTGTCGTTGTTATTCTAAACTTGTCCGAACCACGAAGCGCCAACAGTCACTTGTAGTTTTCTTCTTATATATATAAAAAAAATTAAAGTCACGCTAGTTTTTGTCGACAGCGCAGCACTGATCCAAGCATGAATGAACAGATATATCCCATATTTTTTTTAAGAAACAGGAGGGTTTTTTTGGCCCCTACTGAGGATATATTAAAAAGGATTTGAAAGTACAAAAACAAATACAAAGGGGACAGCTTAGGCTGTGGAAAAAGCTAACGGTAGGACTAAAGAAGCAACCTAGGGGACTAGAAAGGAGATCCCATATTTATTTATATCATATGTCAATAAACGCCACCTCTTCTTTTTATTTCCTTATGATAAATGACAGGATTTTCACGGTCTCTTAGATTTAGGGCGCATGCAAAGTTTTGCGGCAAGTTGGCCAAGCTCTCTCGCAATCCTCGCTCGTCGCATAAATTTTGTCTTGTGAACAGCAGTAGCAAACAGCTTCAGATATTGCTCCCGTTTTGCAGGTCTGTTTCTGGCATGGGCACAAATCAACAACATTCCGAGCTGCATGCACATAAAGGCATTCACTTAAAAAATTAGGTAAAGTAAACCTAACTTTACAGTACTTTAAGATTGTTTCTCTGTTTCTCGAACAGGACACTATGGGAACAATTTATATATTTACTGAAAACTACTCCCTTCATGTCTAGATGTACAGTGAAAATAATATATTTAGAAAAACTAAAACATTTTATAATTTAAAATAGAGGAAAAAATATAAGTAATTTTATCGGAATGCGCATGTGTACTTACAGTGTGTAGGAATCATGAAACATCCTAGGATCAGCATTAAGAACAGGATCGCCTTGCTTCCCTCCATTGTAATTTTCACCATATAAGGAGTTTCTCCAGATCAGAGATTAATGTATGTATATATGTTTGACTACCGAATGCTTGCAGCAAGGGTCATATATACACACACACAGGCGTTCAGTATCATTCAATAGTCGTGTTTTAGGATTGTTCAGTATTTAGTGGTCCTGGGTGTAGTACTATACTGAACGCGGTTCAATACTAACTAGTATTTTTCTAAGGTCAGTTTTGACTTGGAATATTATTCTACACCAGGTGATTCTACACTGCGAGTCAAAACTGACCTGAAAAAAATACTGAGTAGTACTGAACCATATTCAGTATCAGTCAACACTACACACAGACCGCGAAAATACTGAAACACGACTACTGAATAGTACTGAATTCTGTTCAGTATCACAGTATGGTGTAGAATAACACGTGTGTGTGTATATATATATAAAGATAACTATCTATATCTAGCAAGAAGTGATACAAGTTAATTGCTAATTGCTAATAGGTCATAACTAATATTAGTTAGCTGGTTTGGTCCAACTAGTAAGATAGTTATTAGTTAGGTATTCGCTAACAATTAGCTAAGCTAATTATTACAGCTAACTTGCTATTAGGCCCCGTTCGCTTGTCTTAAAATCCGGCTTGTTTGTTTTCTTTTTTCAGCTGGAACAGTGTTTTTCTCTCACGACAATTTAGCCGGAATAGTGTTTTGGATTGTTTTTTCAGCCAAATTCAACCAAGCGAACGGGGCCTTAGTTGCTTGGATCCAAATAGGACCTATGTTGGGTCAAATTAAGGTTCCATTTGGATCTATTAGCTACTAATAGTTAGCTAGCTAATAATTCACTTACTCTCTCTAGATGCACATACAACAAAACAGTAATACTAGTGTTGATAGAGATAATTAAATACGTTCCTTAGTCTTTGAACCAAAGGTGGTTGTTACGCCTTATATATATACTGGGACGGGGGAGTATTAGCTGCTATTAGTTAGTTGGGTATACAACTAACAGTTAGCTAAATGCTTGGATCTAAGCAACTAATTAATAGCAACTAACTATTAGCTTCTTGGATCCAAATAATTAGCTGAAATTAGCTCTATTCAATCAAACACCTTAGCTAATAATAGTTCAACTAGTAGCTCAAGATGAACTATTTAGCTAATAAGAAATTATTAGCCGTCATTATTTAATTAAATACTACTCCCTCCATTCCAAATTAGCTGGTTTTCTCCCAACTAACAGCTAATATTTAGCTTTTTGAATCCAAATAGAGCCTAAATCTAGATGGATATAAGTGCAGGATCGCCATCTGGATTCAGGAGGCAAGCATGATTTGTTTTTGGACAAGAAGACCAGGCCAGCCATTTTTTGATTCCATAAGTGGCACTGTGGCAGCATTCGAGTTATAGCTTAGATACAGAATTCAGATAAAGTGCCTCGAAATATTCTTTGCCGGGGTCTGTCGATCCAAATACCTCAGCTAATAGGTCAACTAATATCTCAAGAAGAACTATTTAGCTAATAAAAAAATATTAGCCGCTGCTATTTAATTAAATACTACTCCCTCATTCCAACTTAGGTTCTGTTTGGATCCATTTGGTGCTAATAGTTAGCTAGCTAATAGTTCATAGCTAATATTAACTACTATTAGCTAATTTGGTCCAACTAGCAGTGAAATAGTTGTTAGTTAGGTGTTCAACTAACAATTAGCTAAATTGGTAGCTAGAACTGCTTAGATCCAAATAAGCTAATTATTATCAGCTAACGACTATCTTTAGGATTCAAAAGGGACCTTAGCTGGTTTTCTCCCACCTAGCAGGTAACATTTAGCTTTCTCAATCAACAGAGCCTAAATCTAGATGGATATAAAAGTACAGGGACGCCATCTGGATTTAGGAGACAAGCATGATTTATTTGGTTTGTCAGACAAGCTCACAAGCACATCGTTTGTTGGCTTGGTTAGATTGAGCTATCTTGTTTCTATCTCACCCTTGTGTTCCATCTAATGCAGCTCAGGCGCTCGAGCTGCTTCTCCACCCCATCCCAGAACATCATGAGTAGTGTTTTTTTTAAGATCTTCTGTTCTTTTGTCAAATTGGAACTAGATGGTGTAAGGTTCCCAGATAGTATGTTAAAACCTGCTTTTAACTTTTCTGTGTTTTTTATGTCTAAGTGGCTTAATTCTGCTGGTGACTCGGGTAAGAATATCAGTAAGATGAAACTTGGTGAACAAATGGTTCTTTAACAAAAAAATGCTAACTGGTTTTCTGTTTCTGTAACTATAAGAGATGAAGAATTTGGTAATAGAAGAGTTCGAAAGATGTATGTGACTCAGTTGTTATCACCCTTTGGTTTAATGTGGACAATATAGGGTTCAAAGTAACTTCTCTTGAGTGCATTGTTCATGATATGCTGACATGATATGTTCACCTGACAGCCAATGCAAGTGCTCTTAAGGTCAGCTGCGAACTTCTTCGCATATTTGTTACAGGTCTGCACCTCTGAAAATTGATGCATCACTGCAGGCTCTAATTATGCTGGGGAATCATATGCATTTTTGTACTTTAACTCAAATTTCTCTTGCAGAGGCTATTCAACGCTATGCTTTTATTGCTGAAGCAGAGGATGGTACTGTCATCGAGCCCACCTACCTAGAGCGTGTGTTGCCACAACTGCTCTTGGATTTTTGAGGTAACCCAGAGATGTCCAGATGCATCAGCAGAGTCGTATAGCTGCCCAATGTCTTGTAAACACACGCAGCTTCTAGTTCTACACCAGCTAAACTTGGAAAGGAAAAAGCTAGATATCATCATACGCATGATATTTTCTTGTTTGCTGTAACATGGACTCTGAAATGGTGACTGTTTATACTGGCATGTATCGCTGTTCATCGGTTCGCCAAAATCGACTACCTCCCGCCTATGTTACAACCAAATCACAGATTTAGAGCTGAAATTTCTATTTTATTAGTCTTGCTACAACTATGACAGATTAGGGATACATATAGGGTAACTTGTTTACAATTTAAGAAAGCTACGACATATTCTAAAAATGTTAAAGTAGATGCTAAGGATAAAGATAAGGACGGACACATCCATCAACTAACTCTAAATAAGTATCCTAGGTAGATAAGGACAAGACTTATAGCTGCTATTTTCTCCCTAAGTCTTGTGTGACGTCTTCCGGAGAATTTGAACCATCCCAATCCTAGCGCGAAGCTCTTGGAACTTAACCCGCCCAAGAGACTTGGTGAGAAGATCGGCGAGCTGATTCTGGGTGTTGATGTAGTCGGCCTTTATGCTCCCATCATCCAAGCAGCTCCTAATGAAGTGGTACTTGACTCGGATATGCTTGCTGTGCTCATGGAAGACGGTGTTCTTCGCCAAGGCCAAAGCAGACTTGTTGTTCACCTTGAGCTCCACTGCTCCTGTGTCTCTGCCCAGGAGATCGCCCAGCAACCGAGCCAACTAGAGAGCTTGAGTCGAAACGGTTGTGGCAGCGATGTACTCCGCCTCGCAACTAGACAGAGCCACCACTTGCTGCTTGACCGACTACCAGCTGATCAAACACTTGCCGAGGAAGAATAGCGTCCCGCTGGTACTCTTGCTTGTGTCGATGTCGCCGACGAGGTCGCTGTCGTTGTACCCAATGAAGTGCTCCGCACCGGGACACCTTGAGTAGTGTAAGCCATAGTCGGTGGTGCCCTCGACGTAGCGGAGGATCCTCTTGATAGTATGCTAATGCTCCGTTGTCGGTCGCTGCATGAACCGACTGACATAGCCAACAACGAACGCAAGGTTCAGCCGCGTGTGGACGAGGTAGCGAAGGTTGCCCACAATGCACCGGTACTGCGTGGCGTCGACCTCCTTGGCCGTGCTATCGCGGCTCAGCTTCAACTTTTCCTACATGGGAGTGTAGGCAGGTTTGCAGCCGGTGAGCCTGCCCAACTCGACGATGCGTTTGGCGTAGGTGGTCTAGCGAAGTCAGATGCGAGAGCTGTCCTAGTGGACCTCGATCCCCCGGTAGAAGGAGAGAAGGCCCTAGTCGCTCATCTGGAAGGTGGCCTTCATCTCCTCTTTGAACGCCTCCACCTCGGCCTCCTTGGTGCCGGTGATCACCAAGTTGTCGACATAGACGCCTACCAACAGGGCATTGCCACCCTTGCCCCACCGGTAGACAGCAACCTCGTGAGGACTCTGCTAAAACCCCATTTGCTTGAGAGTGGAATCTAGCTTGGCGTTCTAGGCTCGTGGCGCCTGCCGCAAGTCGTAGAGGGCCTTGCGCAGGCGGAGAACCTTGTTCTCCTTGCCGGGGATGACAAATCTCGACACCTGGTGGGCGTAGACCTCCTCCTTCAGGTCACCATTGAGGAAGGCGGACTTGACGTCCATGTGATGCACATGCAAACCCTCCTGGGCCGCTAGCGTGAGGAGGAGACAAACGGACTCCATCGAAGTCGACTCCCTCCTACTAGACGAACCCGCGCACCACTAGACGCGCCTTGTGCTTGGTGACCACTCCGACTTCGTCCTTCTTGAGCTTGTAGACCCACTTGAGGGTGATTGCGCGATGGCTAGCGGGAAGATCCGCCAGCTCCCACGTCCGGTTTCGCTCGACCGTGTCCATCTCCTGCTGCATCGCGGCGTGCCATGCCATGTCTTCGTCCGCCTCAGCGAAGGAGTGAGGCTCACCGTCCTCGTGCGCCAAGTGCAGCTTTGCCTCGAAGTCGTGCATCGCCAGTCCAGGGATGGGCTGATCACCAAAGATGTTGTCCAAGGTGCGGTAGCATAGAGGCTCGTCGTCGTGGTAGGCATCGACGCGATCCTCATCGTCGGACAACGGAGTGGTGAACTCCACCGAGCGCTGCCCGTCACGGACCGAAGCTGCTGGTGCTAATCACGGAGGTGTGGGCGCCTGTGCATGAGAGTGAGGAGCCGGTGTAGGAGAGTGAGGCACCGTCGGTGTAGGAGAGTGGGGCATAGCTGGTGGTGGAGGACTTGCTGGTGGTGCA